CTTCTAAGCTTCTGTCACCGAACACTTTAAGCAGGGGTTTGTGATCGACTGCGATGATGAGGTCGGGGCAACCTAAGACAAAATGAAGAGTTGTTTCTAGGGCATCCTCTACGGCCAGTGCTTCTCCTTCAATTGGGGGCATATCTTGATTCAGCAAAGGATGTGAAGCGGCTGCCTACTAGTTTACTTGTGTGAAGGACCGACATCACTGCACAAGGGGCATTCCCATAAGCGCCCCGTCCCCTGAAGAAGCACATCTCGAAGTGTGTAGATGCTGACGGTTCTAAGCAATGGTTGATTCCATAGCCTTCTGCTCCTCCCACAAAGTTTTGAATTTCTGCAGGCGCCCCATCCGATTCCAAGCTCACGAAGTCGCTCAAAATGATGGTATTCCGACTCTTCTTGTTCTTTTTCTCGTGTTGCCCTGACTGAACGTACAATTTCAGGTTTGTTAGGGCACAGCTTCCCTTCAGGTCTTGCTTTTTCAGCGAGCTCATCAGCCCGCTCATTGCCCTTGACTCCAGCATGGCCCGGGGTGAAGATCCACGTGATCTTTTTCAGTGTTGTCTTCTTCTGGAGCTCTGTCCATTCAGCTCTAAGGTAACCACTCTCAATCTTCCTCAGAGGGCTTTGAGAGTCTGTGACAAAGATCACATGTGCTTGTCGAGTTGTTGTGACCCATTTGAGAGCCTGAGTGATTGCCTCTATCTCCATTCTCATGCTAGATGTCGTCATATTGTATTGGCTGCCTACTAGTGTGACTTTCCAGCCTAAGCGGCAACTGAATGGCTTGCTTGAGGTGCATTCGCAATGCTTTTGGAGAAGCCAGAAGCCGGTGTCGTTCTTGTGGAAATCCGTTGCGAGGAATGTTGGTCTTCTTTTGTCAAATATTTCTTCTCCTCTTTGAGTGTCAGAAAGTATGACGGCCCTGGTTTCTTCAAAGAGGTTGTCCATACACTCATTCCATTTGAAGTTATTATACAAAGTCAAAATGACTGACATCAGATGTTCTGCACCACAGTGAAATGTTGCATGGCCCTCAACCACAGCCCCGGAAGTTCTTCTGAAACTCCTCGATATGCATGAGAGGACCGCTCACCCAGCCACCGTCCCTACGAAAGCTCCCACGGCCACAGGGGTCAAAGTGGAGAAGGTGAAGCGCCCAGTCGTTTCTGCATCTGGGACAAGCAAAGAATGGACATATTTTGCTCAGCGTTGATCAGAATATAAGCAAGCCACACGACTCACTGGCGAGGACATTATCTTCCAACTCCTTGAGTGGTGCGATGAGGCCCTCTGCAAGGACGTAACCAGGAGTTTCAACAACCTCACATCATATGACCAGCCCACTTTCCTTGACCACATAAAATCCCTGACCGTACGTCAAGAAAATGTCATGGTGGCTAGACTACAACTTCAACAAATGCGACAGGACAGGGATGAACCCGCTTGAACTTTCTCTGCACGCCTCAAAGGCCAATCGAGCTAGTGTCAGTATAACATCTCGCGCGAGTGTGGAGCCCAACCGTCGTACAGTGATCAAATGGTCAGGGACATCCTCATCATTGGTCTTGCAGATGATGATATCTGCATCAACGTTCTTGGCCAGGCCAATCAAGAGATGTCGCTCGATGAGACCATCCGCTTTATTGAGGCCAAAGAAAGAGGAAAACGTTCGTCTAGACGAATAAACCCTAACCCCACGGCCGTGCCTGTGGTTATTGATGCAGCAAGCAGTACAGGGGCGACCTCCAGATAGAAGAACAAATACTCAAACACAGCCATGCAGCCACTGCCGCAAGGCAGGACATGGCAGAGGAAAGCAAAAGCGTATGAATCACACCAGTACAAACTGCAACCTCCAACATTACCTCGAAAATGTATGCTGTAAACCCAGGCAGAGGCCTCATACTCATACCAATCAAAGCGACTCTGCAACAGCAGTATTGGAGAGCCTTTGCCACATTGAAACTGATAATGAACAATTGGTTGGCACTGTAACACTAGACCACCATGTTTTCGATTCCCTGAGTGAGATGAGGGAAAAACGCGCATCTGCACCCCAACCGACCATCAACGTGGAGATTCAGGCCCTTCCATCAGACGCCAAAGCCTTAGGAATTGAACCCACTCTGTGTAACTCTACTAGAACCCCCACTGTACTGGCAGTCGCGGACTCAGGTTGCCAGTCATGCCTTGCTAGTACTTCCTTCCTGCATCAACTAGGTTTGAACACATCCCAGCTCGTCCCTACGTCACTGAAAATGAAGGCTGCAAACCAGAAGGCAATTAAAATCGAGGGTGCTCTAATCCTACGCATCACTGGCACGACACAATCTATACAGCCGAAAACAACACGCCAGATTGTATATTTTTCGTATTCAACTGAATATCCTCTAAATGAAGTAATGATTTATTTCTTTGAACAAGGTGTGTGGTTTTTTAAACTCACGATTAAATTGATATGATGCACAAACCAGGAAGTTATCAAAATGAGTGAGGATGCCCGTGTGTCTATCAATGAGTGCATACATATGAAATTGAATGGTCGCAAGCTTGAATGCATGTAGTATGTGTCAGCAGAAAAAGTTATAGTATAAAATCGCAACCAGCAGAAAAAGTTATAGTATAAAATTGCAACAAAGCAAAAGTAAAAAAAAAAACCCCACCCATCACGTAGCCGAGAATATCAGATCAGGTAATTAAGTATTTCAAATTCAACACAACAGTGAGTAACAAGAGATACATCGAATTCACATGAAAGTATTGTGAGAGTCAAAATTCAACAATACGATAAATGCATTATATACTTTCATAAAAAATACTCCTTCTGAATGCATTCTGAAACATTTTAGTCTTGGAGTGAATATCTCATGGCAATAAAGCACAACCTTTCAAATAAGAATTGTAAACACACAATAGAACGACTCAAAACAATGACAAACAATAAAGCTATTCCTTTTGAGGTATAAAAAAAATATACCAAGCCCAGGTTATAACAGGACCACAGGGACCGACATGATTAACCCTGTTATAGCCAAATCCTGTTACAGACGGGAATGAAGTTTACATACATTACAACTAATGGTAACTGAACTGGATTATAGTTATTATACAGATTAGCCACAGCTAATTAATCAGCTATTAGTCCTTTCTTTTACACTGATTTTTCCCCCCTCATCTATATCTTTCTTTTTCTAGTATCTTCTTAGTCTCATGGAATAAAACTTAAACTAGACATTATTTGACTGTACGGGTAATAATTATAACTGCATTCAACGTGCATTATCCATGCTCTACAGCATGTGTTGTGTGCTTAACAACTGCATCATGTATTTGCAATCGAATAGATATCACAATTTGTGAAAAGGAATACATATACATCTGTGATAGAAATAGTGCCCGGTGCCTACGTTTCATTCAATCATTTATTCCCATTACAAGTCTTGCCACTCTACTGGAAGACAATGTGACAATTTGGTGTCAGACAAAAGTCAAGCTAAGTCAATGACTGGATTGGCATCAACATCAAAGTGCATCCAGTCCCCCCCCCCTTTCCCCAGTACACATCATAAAAAGTGCACATAATAAGTAACTTACATATACTGAGGGTTACAAAGGAATGATTTGCCATGATTGGATTTTGTTTTGTTTCATTTACTCTTTTCTACTTTCTTGTCCGTCTGTTTTGTCCACCTCTGTATATCTGTCTGATTACCTGCTATTCAAAATCTTTTTGCTACACATTATAAGAGATCAGACTAAGGGATCTACTGTAAGCCTGCTATAGATGGAATCCTGTTATAACCGAGATTGTTGTAAGTGGAGGCCTTATGTAAAGAGGACATACCATATTATAATGTACAACACAAAGGAAAAGTGATGTTAATTTTTATTTCCCCAATGGTTAAAATCCACGGTAAATTTTATGCATTGTATGCATGTATGTACCCACCAACCAAAACGACATGATCACGTTCCTGTATAAGGGAAAGAATATGGCAAGCTAGAAAAAAAAGCATTCCATTTCAAATATTTATAACAAACAAAGCAAATTTCATAAATCAACAATTAATTGTTCTTTCATTATTTGAGAACAGCTTGATAAAATGCTGATATAAGGCATAAGTATTCTTGGTTTCAACTTCACATTTCAGTAATTGTATGTATAGAACAGTAACAAAATAGTTTCTACAAGTCAGCAGAAAAGGACTAGTTTTGTACTTTGAAGTATTATCATAGAAGAAGGTCTCAGTACTTCATTGTTTCATAAACATGGCCTGCCCCCCCCCCCCCCAGAGAAAAACTGATTTTAAAAATTAAAAAAAGCACAAAGAACAAAATCAATTAAAAATGAGTTGAAAAAAACCCAATACACTCTGAAATTCATCACCAAGATTTACCAGAGCCCAACCTGGTCCCTGCAATCTTAGCAATAATATGTGAGGCATCGTAGTGAAATCAGGCGCTTGTCAAAATAATGAAATCGAACAAAAAAGCCATTTTTCCGCCAGTTTGGAAATACCTATCTAATTTTTGTTTTTTGGCCCAACACCTTTTTTATCTATATATAAACATATTTCCGTGTGAATATGGCTGAAAAACATTGGATAAACGCACAAAACATTTTCAGTTGCCAAGGACTCTCAAGCTATTGGAGTTACCAAACTGTGAAAGTTGTTTTCTCGCTAATTTTACCTCTTTCAATTGCAAATATCTCGACTTCAATTCAAATAGATGGGTATTTTTTTCATTGAAAGCAAGGCATATGAACAAGCTTTTAGAAGATACCAATAACTCCTTACGCCCCTAAACAGACGAGCCCCTGATTCAACCGCATCGTGACACATATGTGCGAGAAAACATATATGTTTAAGCTGCAAGAACTTCTTGATCAGGACCTAAGGTAAGAGAAGCATCCCTACGACAGGTGCCAGATCTGGTTTAACCCTCAGAAGTTGGCACATCCACCAACTAAACGTTGTATTATTGTTTTTTTCTTGCTTTCCAAACTGATCACAAGCTCTCCTTGCCTGTACTTTTCTGTACCATAAAACACTGTACCAAATCTTTGTTTCCTAGAACTTTCAAGGATAATTCAGGCCTGTAGCTGGTGCCTATCTTTTGTATGCTGAAAATGATAACGTTTACATATTTCGACCAAAACTTGCTGCAACAAAGCAGGAAATACACCTGCAACTAGTACGAATTAAGTCTAAGTGAGTAAAATTTAGTTTGAGAAACTCCCGAAACTAAACTGATACATAAAACTGTGCGGAACAAAATTTAAAGGTTGACTTGAGATAGACATGAGTCTTCACATCGAGAATGTCACAACGAGCTTTACTGGTTCAACTCAGTAAGAGTATTTTCTCATAACAGTAATTTCATTACCCAACTCCATCAAGAAGCTTCGAATGAAATAAACCTATGGAGTGTATACCCTATTTACATCATAGTCAAAGGCAAAAAGCATGTCTCTCTTTCCCCAGAGTGTTTTTGTATAGATGAAGGAGAGCTTATTCTCCTCTGCGGTGATGTTGAGACGGTCAAACAATTCAACGAGCGCAGACTGGTAGGCGACTTGGACAGTCAGCTCAGCATCGGCATTGGCTTTGGCCAAAATAACTCGACTTTTAGCTTCAGCAGCTTCAGTGACTTCTCTGGCTGCAAAAGAAACAACACATTAGGAATCAGCAGTTTTCATTTGATCAGAAGGATGAAGTTTTGTTAAGCAAGGGCTATATTTTCTTGTTTATAACACTTCGCTTTGGGAAGCGTGAGGCAGCATCTTCAACCCACAGAACAGCAGACTTTAAAAACATGATCATCTTTCCAACTACATCACAGGATCCTATGTTTTTTCAGAACTCACTTTCCACTTTCAAAGTCACGTTTCATTTCTTATATTTGAATATCAGATTCTTTTTTTACAATTCTCAACTGGAATTCAGTGGAAGAGATAGGTTGACAGGAAATATATTTTTAAAACACATTTAATTGACCCAAAACATTCTAAAACCCCTGCTTTTTTATGTGTTTGTACATGTGTCTGTGTGTGTGTGTGTGTGTGTGTGCGTACGTGTGTGTGTGTGTGTGTGTGTGTGTGTGTGTGTGTGTGTGTGTGTGTGTGAGTGTGAGAGTATGAGAGTAAGTGTGAATACATGGGCTCACAACTTACCTTGATTCAAAAGATTTTTCACTAATGCTTCAGTTTTCTTCTCTTCTACAGCTGTTTCTTGAAGATATAGCTCTCGTTCTACCTGTATCTGTAAATATACAATTTAAAAATAATTAATGTACAAATGTAATATACAAGTCTGATTGACTGTGAACAGCCATATGTCACTCCCAATACCCCAATTAACAAAACAATTAGATCTAAGACCATCAATGAGCTGCAAAAATAGTCAAACACAAAGCGCTCAGAAAGGTCCCTTTTTCATTATCAAGTTACTGGGTTTTTTTTGTCAAAGTTTGAAGAATACAAGACAGATCATTCATGTAATGTCATTGTAGCAGATGGAAAAGGCAAGTTTCTTCTATTCTTTTTATCACTTAAAAGAGTGACATTTCAGGTTAAGTGGTTAAACAGTGCCTGTGGTGTAACGGTAAGGAGCTTTACTGTCACACATGAAAGATGTGATTTCGAATCTTTCCTGAGAGAAAAAGATTTGTTATTTTTTTGAGTGTCTCTCTCTATCTGCTGCGACACCGAATCCCTCCCAGACAGGGTTGGTGTTAACAGACACGGTCGAAGCAGCTTGTCTCCTAAATTATCTAAATTGTGTTGATGGGGACAAAAAACACCTACTATTAAGGTAGCTATGAAATTGTGCATGTAGTGTAGTACACTGCTGTTGCAATCAATGCACTAAGGTGTTGAGCATTATTACATAAGTTCAAGTATATGGTTTCATCATAATCACACAAGCGAAATAATCTTTGGAATAACATGAAGGGGCTAACCCAGGATAGAGAAAGGAGGAAAGCATTTATTCGCCTATACCCCGATCAGGGATGAGAAAGGCAATGATGATGATGATGAAAGATAATCTAAATTTTATGTCAGTCCCCGCACATCATTTTTCAAAACTCTATTCTATTCTTAGATTTCTAGAGTTTTTTGCTACTTGTGTTGATGCTGTCATTAAAATGGTCATAAAATAAATTAAAATTGCCTGATTTTTAATTTAAAAATTAAAAAGTACAAAATGTTCAAACTTTCAACTTCTTTAGATATCTGTACTTTATTTTGAAGTTTCCAAACCCATCGTTGATAGTTCCACAAAATTGAAGAGAGATACAGTAGTCTCCGCCTAAACGCACGCCATACAAAAGCACGCTCCGCTCAAACTCACGCTATCGTCATCGGAAGGGATTTTTACTATATAATTTAGAGTCACTCCCTCTAAATGCACGCTTCGATCCGCGAAATATGCAAACAGGTAAAGCTTGACAAAGGAAAATTTTCACAACAACCTGCACAGCTTGCATAAGACAAGCCTAGAAAACTGAACATTTGGTTAAACTGCCCCTCACGCCGAACAAAGAGAGTGATGGACAGCGTTTTCACACCCAACTTTATTATTTCGTTTTAACGTTTATTAGAGAACATAAAAGACAATAAAGCAGTTTTTTTTTTTTAAAGGCACAATTTTTTAAATCAAAACAAAATATGAACCTAAGCAATTTCATTGACGCAAATATTTCCTCTCCATCCCTCCCTCTATCTCTCTCACACCCCTGCCCCCATCACTCCTTCTCTCTCCTTCCTCCATTTTTTGTCTACTCCCGCACCCCCCTCCCGTCTCTCTTTTCATCTCCATATTTCACCCCCCACTTCACTCACCTGAAGCACAACACTCCGTAGATACAAGTCCATGACCTCATCAGGGATGGACACCCGGCCCATCTGGAAATATCGCAGTTCCACGTGACGTCCCACATAGCACTGACCAACAGGCAGACAGTCTGGGGGGCCGCATGACGTGTTCTGGGCGGATGTGTGGTTGTTAGGGCACCTGGATGGGCAGCAGTCGCCTGGAAGCAGAAACATACTGTTTTTAAAAAAGCAAAACAAAACCCAAGAGTCATTTTTCAATAAGGTAGGGGAGAGTTAATAAGGTAGTGCTTGATGAAGCCCACGTGGGACGCTCAATGTAAAAAAACATTCAGGAAACGGCAAATGCAGTTTTTGGGACACATAAATAGACATAAGGGTCTTGAATATTTAGCTCTCACTGGCAAAATTGAGGGCAAGCGAGGAAGGGGAAGGCCCAGAACAACATACTTGGGGAACCTAAACAAATGAGTAACGGGGAAAGATCAGGGAAACGTGGCTTTTTTTAGAGCATCCAAGCAAAGGAATGAATGGAGAACCATGATCGCCGATGTCTGTCGCAGATTTGGCACTGGATGCTAATGATGAGAGGAGGGTTGGGAGACCTTTGAGAATACTTGAGGTGATGGGTGGCATGTGGAGCCTGGAGAAGAGTCACAGAGAACAATGTATAGAAAAATGGGAAGACAGGAAATACTATCAAGAGATTAGCTTGGGATATGGAAAGGAGGAAATGAATCAATTGTCCGTGGCCTGTACCCTGAAGCAGGGTAAGAAAGGTAGTGAAAATGATGGTGAGACAACAGGTTGGAATGGTTGTAAAAACTACCAGGCAGTTACTTTTAGTAAAAGTTATACGGCACTTGCAACACAATAAGGTCATATAAGTGCTGAAGATTTGGGGTGTTAGCAGAGAGTAACAAACACAAAAAAGAAGGGAGAGAGAGAGATAGAGACGATAGACTTCTTATAGGAAAGAAGGAGCAAACCACACCAGAGCACCCGCCAACCACCCACCCAAGTAGTTAGTTTTACAAAATGTAATCAAGCCATGTGAGAGGGTGTGTGTATGCTGGCTCAAGGTCTACTTACACGCATGTTGGCGGCATTATAATAATAATTCTGTTTGCAATATTCATTCGAATATGAGAGGCAGCGTGGTGAAATCAGGTGCTCGTCAAAATAATGAAACTGGAGAAACTGGGAGTTTTCTGTTAGTTTGGCAATTTTTATCGAATTTTTATTTTTTGGATCAACACCATTTTTATTCAATTAAGAACACATTTCTGTATGGATTTTACTGAAATAGTTTCCACGGACTGTCAAGCTATAGAAGTAACCAAACTTTGGCGGCCATTTTCTCAATAATTCTACCGCTGAAACCAGGCGACCCAACCTCCTTCAATCTCAAATATATCGTCTTCTTTTCAAGATAGATGTGTATTTTTTTCACTGATAGCAAGACAATTGAACAAGCTTTAAGATGACGGCAACAATTCCACATGTCCAAAAATTGACAAGCGCCTGATTTAATTGCGTCGTGACACATATATGTGTGGGACAGGCGTACATGTGAACATGTGTGAGACTTTGTGTGCAAACATGTCTGTATGAGCATGTGCCTATGTTGGTTGGTATGAGCAAATATGTGACCATATGACAGCTTGGGCATGAGAAAATGTGTGTGTGTGACTGGTTTAAGGTACCATATAACGCATTTTGAGAATTTAAGTATTATTCCACTTTCAGGAACAAAAATAATTTCTGAACAACTTGCTTTGTATATTTTTTAGAAAACAAATGATCACAGTGTTTTCTGATTTGTATGAAAATTTCACCTCAAATAAAAGATTAGGAACTTCATAACAATTTTTCAATGCATCAGAAATGTTGGTACTGGTGTTCACAGATTGTGAAAGAGAAAACAAATCCGAGAAGCAAGAGAGTCAAGTTACCTGACAGAACATAGCGCACCCTGCTCTCCAGTTCAGCCTCCACATGATGTCTTCTCAGCCTGTATTTATCCAAGGAGAAATTCACAGCCGTGTTTTTCACAGTGCTCTGGATCAACTGTTTCATAACCTCAGGGTACTGCAGATTGTACCTTTTGTACAAAACCACTATCTCTGTTGGCCTGTGGACATAATGGTTACTGTAATGACGAAATGACATAAAGTCAAAGTTGTGCCAAAATGCAACTAGCCTTTTATTTTATTTGGTAGTACTACATCTATTTTTTTGAAAAACCCAAACAAAAATGGGCTAGCAGTCACAAAAGAAACACGCAAGGCAAGTTTTATCATAATAAGGTGATAAGTAGTCCAGTTAATCAGTTGGGTTTTTTTCATTTGTTTCAGAAGCAGCAAAAATGAGATGAGCCATATATGTAGTGCAGTGAGGTAATGTAAAATCTCCCTCTCAGTTTGGGCTACACAAAATATTATCTGAAGGTGAGTGCATGAATTTTTATGCTTGTAAAACACGTACATCTTTTACACCCCCTTGACATGGTTTTTGAGGTATGCCAACAAAATGAGTTACTTAAAATTCTTGCAATCTCGGAATGGATAATATATTGACCAAAAATGGACACAGGGGCCAAATTTGTAGATTTTCAATTGATGCTTTTTTCTTCAAGTAAACATGTTTTTTTAAATTATTTCATATTTTTACACTGTATGGACTCTACCCATAAATTTAATGTAACTAGTTCCATATAGCTGAAAATCTTAAAAATAACTCATTCTGGAAGCGCGCCTCCCACTTAGATAATTAAGGAGGAGGGCTGCTTCCATCCTGCCTGTCAGGTGTCAGGGCCAACCTGGGCTTAGAGGAATACATCATCACCTTGATAGACAAAGACACTTGATGAAACAAGTTCCCCTCTTAAGAATCAAACTCAAGTCTCCTGTGCTGATCTGAATTTAGACTGTGTCAATAGTGCCAGCCCCATCGTGATAGAGAAACTTTTTCAGCTCCCTTCCATTCAGCCTTCAAACTTTCACATGTTGGTTTTTAGTTTTAGTAAGAGTTTTATGGTACTTGCAACACAATAAGGTTATTTATTAAGTTTCAACCATTAGAGCTTTACTAGAGAGTAACATAAAGTAAACAAAAAGGTGCTAGAGAGTATTATACAAAGAAAAGGGGAGAAATAAAGATGACAGATATTCAAAGAAAGAGCAAATCATGCTAGACCGCACTGCAAACCATCCAATAACACATGTTAGTAATGTTTGTTGCTAAACGTGTTACAGCAACATGAAACTAAAATGTTGTACATGAGAGTACACATTTTTCGACTGCATCCAAACAATTTAGACCACTTACGAGGTCTGTCAGGGCCAATCTGGACTGAGTAGGACACAGCATCAGAGCAGATAGAAAGAGATACTTGATAAAAAAAATGTCCCGACACAGGAATTGATCTCACGCCTTCTTCACACATGGCGCAGAAAACAAACCATTACAATACAGAGACCAGTCAGTTTGAACATAATCTGGGTAGCTACACATTGAGAAATCTGAGAATTTAAATTTTAAGGCTGTAGATATAAGAAAAATAAAATACGACAAACAAAGTAAAGAGAGAGTTCCACATGAAAGCAAATTTACAATATAAAGAGTAGCAAAATAATCTTAACTTTTCACCAGACAAAGGTCTGACATTAATTATGAACACATTCTACACGCATAAAACTCAAACATTTTTAAGGAATCATACTTGAGAAAATACTGCAGATAGAGATGAAGGGTGATGCCTAAAAAGTCTTTGTTCATGATTTTCAGCGTCATCTCAACGTGATGTGCAGAAGCCTTGAACTTTATCATCTCATCCCAAGGGGCCATGAGGTTGCAGCTGGGGCCATACAGTTGGCTGTAGTCAACCTTGCCGGTGAAACTATTCCGGTGCAGTGCATACTGGAGAAAGTTCATTGTAAATATTTTACACTTCCATCCATACAATTTACATCACAAAAATCTTCATTTTAGAAAGAGTTTACAGCTCTTGCAATACAATTAGGTCATTTAAGGGCCATAGATTAGAGGTGTTACAAGAAAGCAACAATCACAAAAAAGTTGGCAAGGAGGAGAGATAAAAACAACGAACGTTTGATAAGAAAGAAGGAGCAAACCACACTACAGCACTTGCCAACCATCCACATAAAATCTTCAATACCATACAAGTGGACAAAAAGACAATCTTCGTTGAAGATTGAAGATCGAGAACCCTTATGAGTCACCTTAGAAGTTCTGCATTTGGGTGTGGGAGGGAGCGGGTTGTTTTACTAGTGTTTTTTCAATGAGTGGTCAGGTGGAAGGAGAAGGGGGGTTGAGGGCTAGATGCTCAGATTATTCCTATCATTTTGTTTACCTCAGACACTGTAGGTACGTAGCTCTGGTACCTGGGAACCAAAAAACAGGTCAGTGAATCCAGTCCACTAAAATAGGCAAAACAATATCAACTGTCTTTTTAGCTTATAGCTTAGCAATCCCGAGGAAGTGTCCTTGAAGTTTGCCCAAATGTACTGTGAAGTCTCCAGTATCAAGAGTGACACAAAGGCTGAACTGGAAGCAAAAGGAGAAACTATTAACATTGATCGCAAGATGCATCGAAGTAACTACACAGCAATGAAAACAACATGCCAATGCCAGGATGGAATATGCTCACCCCTGATAATGGCAGAACTCAATGCTGCACTACAAGTTCTCAATAATACATCTGCAGGAGATGACGGAATCCACAATATGATGTTGACCCATCTTTCTGAAGCTGGCCTGAATTCTCTCTAGAATATCTATAGTAAAGTATGGAAAACTGCCCAATACCCAGCAGCCTGACGAAAAGGTACGATAATTCCTATCACATTAAATCCGGTAAAGAACCTGCCTAAATAACCTCTAACAGACCCATCCAACAAACAAGCTGAGTCGAGAAATTATACGAGAGATTAGTAAAAGTGAGAATAACGTTCTGGTGGGAAACCCAGCAAAAACTATGCAGCCGGTTTTCGACCACTGCATAGCACAGAGGATCAGATAGCCAGGACAACGCAACACATAGCCGATAACCTTCAGGACAACTTTGGACCAAGACGAAAAGCAAAGAGGACCATACTCTGTCTAACAGAATTTTCAAGAGTCTTTGGCAAAGTGTGGCATACTGGACTCCTCTAAGAAACAAACACCTTAGAAATGTCCACCTATCCACAACGACCGATCAAGGCCTATCTAGATGACAGAGGGTCCAGAGTTTGTTTTGAAGTAAAAGAAAGTCGCTACTATCGCCTCCTCGCTACGTCCCTCAGAGCGAAGTATTATCACCACTTCTGTTCCTCACGTACATCAACGACATCGTCTACCCGTAGGCACCAACACCAGCCTCTTCACAGACGACCTGGCAATATTGGCATCCCATGAAAATCTTGACACCGCCGCCATGATGGTTCAGGCTGGTCAGGAAAAGATCTGCGATTGGTCAAACCGATGGAAGATGGAAATTAAAGTGGCGAAATGCCAATACTCTTTCTTCACGATATGGAGCCGTGAAATATCCTGGCGTACACAGCTTACAATGGGAGACGAGGAGGTGCCCTATAACAAAACACCTACCTTACTTGGCGTGACCTTCGATTGCAAGTTAACATTTAAAGAACATATAATAAACAAATTAAAGAAAAAACTAGCCCCAAGAGTTAATCTCCTCCACAGGCCCTCCGGCACAGACTGGGGATGCAGCAAAGAAGAACTACGAGAGACTCAAATGCAATGCTGCTTACAAACAAAGCTGGCCTCATCCCACTTGAGGTTAAGTCTAATATTGCAACTGCAGTGGCATACGAGAGAGCAAGAAGAGTCCCAGAAGACAACCTGATCCACGCATCAGCTGAAAGAACATAAAAAAATACGATTAAAGTCCATCAACAGTTGGAGGGAAGTGGGCCGACAGAGCTCTTATAACGCGGGACTAGAACATCTAATCCAAGAGCCCTTATGGCCAGTGAGTACACCTCCCCCAAGGAAGACCCCCTGCAATCTCACAATCAACTTCAAACTTGCAGTGTCCACGACATAAACGGATCCACCTAATATCCAACGTGAAGCAGCTTTCAAGACCGTGTGTCGATTACCTACGTCCGATCTCGATATCTTCACTGATGGCCATGCCATAGACGGCTACAGGTTATGTAGAGGAGGATACCTGTGTCTAGACAAATCTTCTGGGGAGGAAACGCGTATCCGTGCCCGCAGGACTATACGGAAGCAGTTACCGAGCTGAAACTACCGTCCTGCTCTGCACACAGCAATGACTAAAAAAAACACGTTTTCAAAGAATTCACATCTTCACAGACTCCCAGCCAGTCACTTGTTCAACACCTACTTGTTCGGAGTGACTGCAATTCGAACTAAGATGGAGGACAATATGAAGACCATTATCTGACACTGCTGTGAAATCCACTGACACCTACACATACAATGAATACCGGGACATTGCGACATCTACGAGAACAACCGAGCAGACAACAAGGGAGGCCGCCTCGACCAGTCCAACAATCCAGTCGATCTCGCATCAGCAAGCTCGTGCATCTCGCGTTACATCATTGCACACATGTGGGAGAAAGCACGAGTGCACGACTCCGTCGGGGGAAAGGTGAAGCCACCACCGGAGAGGGACAAAGAGAGAGAGACCTAACCGTCAGACAGAGAAGAGTGTTATCGCAGCTAAGATGAAACGCAAAGAACTCCATCCTGCAGGCATACATCCATGCAATAGGCTCCGCTCCCAATGATTCCTGTCTGGCGTGTGGCACAAATCCTGATGACCCGCAGCACGTACTGTTTGAGTGCCCGCATGGGGAATGCACAGAGAGGCCCGCTTATGGAGAACAACGCAAGACCGGACCTGGATGTACTCTGGATGAGGCCACACGAGCGAGGTTGCCTCCTACTGTCTGCCTGCGGCAGACTGCCACCCTCCTAACAGAGGCCAGCCAGAGGAAGGAGGGAAGGAAGTGTCCTTCAGTGAGACAGGTAAAGCTTAGCTCAAAACAAAACGTTGCACAGCAGCAACATGATGTGATGAAGTCTTACTAGTAAACCTACAACTTACTGTCTGCTTTGAAAGACCGGGTGATAAGACTGCAGTAATGTATCCTACAACTTGAAATAAAAACAGGAGTTACTCATCTTTCTTGAGACAGTGACCATCAACATGGTAGTTTCATGTGCATTAGAGAGTCCTCGACAAGCTTAAATTATAAACATGACCATACAATGTACAACCTCCGAAGTGAAAATCAACCATTCTTTTCTTTTCTAAAACCACATTGACTTTCTCTCAAGTTTAATGTAAAAATCCCTTTGAGTCCCGAGAAGCACATTGATTATTTAGTGCAGGGTAAAAAGAAATATAGATACACAGAAAGAAAAGAGGGAGAGTAAAGAATAAAGACCACCAGTTGTGCCTTCAAACCACTTCCTTCAAAATCCTGCCTTCCTCACCTCATAATAGTCCACATAGACAAAACTGGCCGGGAAAAGAGATACAAACAGCAGTAAGGCTCCAATAGCAACAGTAAGCACGCACACCAGACATATCCTGGTCTTGGACCACTGAGACATGGGGCGCTGCTGGCATGACGGGGCAATGGAGCAGAGTCTGGAGGGAAACAAAAAAAAATAATACATAACCAGACCAAAATTAGACATTATGACTGTCTGGACCTCAAAATTTTTTTCAGCAGGCCAACTTGACTCAATTTAATTTGCGAACAATCAAATAATAGCAAAACTGAGACGACACTAAGGAGATAATGAACGATGTTTGTTTTGTTTGAATAAATAAAGAGAACCACATCAACACAATAACGGATATTCAGTGCACAGGAAGATTAGGACAGACAGACAAAATGACAGCGACAAAGAGAAAAAAAGATGAACCCACCAGAAAACTTGGCTGAAGTCTATTGTAGTTTTAGTAAAATAAACTACACATTTCTACTAAAACTAAGAAGGGAAACATAATCTACAGGAGAGTGAGAGAGGCGAGAGGAGGAGGAAGTATACAGATCGATTGAGAGAAAAACAAACTCTAGCCTAAGAATGATAGAGGAGACGATTAGTAATGAAACAAAGAGAAACAGTTTAAATACAGATAGAAGGAAGAAAGAAAAAAAAGAACAGTGAGGGAGATGGAAAATGGTGCAAGATTATAAGTTTCAATATGAGTGTGCGAAAGAAAGTTGGTTCTGTTCGCAACAGCACATTGCACAGTCCGGTTTGGGTCAACATGTCCACTAAAATGTTAAAATACAAAGTATTAAAATTTGGTGTAAATACATTTTTAATTAAAAATAATTCTTTTAAATAACATAAAAAACTTAATACTAATTATAGTTTTCCATAAAGGTAATGGGCCAATGGCCTTAATAAAATCCAGAATTCCGTTGGGATCAATGAGGGAAAACAGACCTTGCAATTTTTTGCAGATAAAAATAAAATATTTCCTTCGGGACTCTCCGAAGTCTAGACATTCTGTTAAAAGGTGTCCAAGTCAAGGGTAAAATCTGTGTCGCATCTGACACAAAACGGCTTCTCATGTCCCTGAAGAAAGTATTTATGTTATCTGTCAGGGCCTTGTGTCCGATTCGTAATCGAGTAAAAATGACTTCATCTCTTCTGGAGAGGCCCGAAGGTTTTCGTGGACCCAGTTTGGGCTTAAAATTGTGTAGTTTATTGTGGGTTTGATTCCTCCAATGAGTCTCCCACAGACTGGAGGTGTAGTTTTTTACTTTATTTTTACAGTCAGTCTGTGAGAGAGTGTTCGTCGCTGATCCCAATAGAAGGGACAAGGATTCCTTCACCAGGAGATCTACCTGCTCGTTTCCTCGGATGCCCAAATGGCTAAGTAGCCATGTGAGCGCAATAATTTTCGCAGTTTCAGTCAAGGCATGTATTTTTCGTTGTAACTTAACTATTTTTGGGAGTAGGAGTGTGTAGTTCGTAAGTGAGGTGATGCAAGACAGAGAGTCAGAAAGGATAAGGAAAGATTTGTTAGGAGAATTTTCTACCGAGTCCAGTGCCATGTCAATGGCAGTGGCCTTCGCAGAGAAAATGGAGGCTTCGAGACGGAAAATCCTCTGGTGTGTACTATTTGAGGATATAGGGCAGCGGCACCCACAGGGGAGTCCGATTTAGAGCCATCTGTGAAGAATAGCTCCGCACCAGGGTATTTTTCTATATGTTTTTTGTATTCTGTTTTAAGTGTTTTGGTACTTGCGCTTGCTTCGGTGAGTGTGGTCATCTGTAAGTCTATTTTTGCCTTGGTGAGGTGCCGCGGAGGGAGTTTGGGGAAAAGAAATTGTTGGATGTCTTGTTTGGAAAATTGTACATTTTTAAGGTCCTCAAGAACTCCGAGGCCGAAAGGTTTGATGAGTTTTTCGTTGTTTTGGAATTTGTTTATGGTGTCTGGGTTTGATCTGAACATACAGACGTGTGCTGGGTTCTCTGGAGTTGAGCTTTGTTTAACTGCATATTGTAGTGAGAGTTGTGTGTGTCTGAGTGTGAGTGATGGTATGTTTGCCTCTGCCTGGAGGCTCTCCACTGGAGAAGTGCGGAAAGTCCCCAGGGCGAGGTGGAGTCCTTGGTTTTGTACTGGAACTAACATCTTCAGAACGTGGGGTTTTTCCGATTCATGGACCTGACAGTTTCAAAGGAGGAGGGGACAGCATAAAGGAGGGTATGATGGGCATGTCTACTTATACACATAGATATATATGAGAGAGAGAGAGGGAGAGATAGAGAGAGAGAAAAAAAGAAAGAGCGAGAGAGAGAGAGAGAGTGAGTGAGAGAGACAGACAGACAGAGACAGACAGAGAGAGAGAGAGAGAGAGAGAGAGAGAGAGAG